AAGGCACAGTTTCTCAAACCAACATAAACAAGGTGCAAGAGAGATAGTTACCTGTTCACTTTCTGAGTGTCTTATTGGTGAATTTTGGGGTTTGCAAGTCAGAGTCAAGCTTGGAGGACTCTAAATTTGCATGTTACATAAGCTGAAGGATAACTTTATCTAACTCTGTTATAAGCCAACAATAAAATGGAATTTTCAAGGTCTCTCGATTATGCTTTTGAGTGATTCTGATGAAAAAAATTAAAGTGCAAGAATTAAAAGTTCTTATCTTTTTATGTAACCTCGCCAAAATATAGAGGATTAAAATATTTTGCATGGAAAGGAGGGGCTCTGCATTAAATATTAGATTGTAATGAAGAACAAGCATTTTTTTACCATGTTCCTTCAAGAGTAAGCTTGATGAGTCACAGGAGACAAGACAGGGATTTGGGTTCCTTTCTTCTCTGGAGATTCACACAGACTATAACGCAAGCTTTAAGTCAGTACTGTAAGAGTGAGGCAGGGCCGTACTCGTGAGGGCTCAAATGTCATCAAGATAATTGTGTTCCTCTTTAAAAAGTAAAAGTAAAGGCAAGATGAGAACTTGGCCTTAGGCCAAGCAGAAGAATTTCAGTCATTTTGAAATAGGATAGGTTAGAGTCAGATTATCAATGCTGATCTTATGGGTAGTGCTCAGGGTGTAGTTCAGTGGCAGAGCTCTTAGCACGGTGAGGCCTCTGAGTATTGCGAACCTGGAAAGGGAATTCAATTCAGCTGAAGGGAGAAGAGAACAGGAACTCATTCTCTGATAAGTCTGGAATGGGATGAACAGTTCTCTCATCTTCCTAATTCATAGAATCTTAAAGACATACAGTATCTTGTTAATAACTCAAATCTACTCCCTGTTAAATTAGTTTTCTTACATTAAAATGATTGGCCATGACATCAAAGTGCATGATTATATGTTTTGTGTATGCAAATGAGATGGGGAGCAAGAAAAAATGAATGTCTTTCTTATCTTACTAACTTAATAAATTATACTAATACAATTAATAATTACGAGCTAGGCTGAGGATATAGTTCAGTGGTAGAGCACCTGTCTAGCATGTGCAAAATTCTGGGTTCAGCTCCTGGAACCACAGGAAAAAGAAGTTCTAAAACTTCAAATCATGAGCTGCACTCATCAGAACTTTTTGGTTCTGGGTGAGTTCACTTTTAAGGGTAATGCTTTCATATAAATAAATTCCAGTGAAAATACAATTTTTTCTTGTTTACTGCCACACAATGATAAACTCGTACTTATAGCTCTAGAAGATTCAAATTAAAAATACAAGAATTTAGAAAATAAAGACAACGCTTCCTTCTAAAAACTCTTAAGGAGGCATTACTAGATGACTTGAAAGATAGTGGTTAAAAAATTTTTTTTTTTTGGTACCGGGGGTTGGACTCCAGTCCTTGTACTTGCAAGGCAGGCCACGGAACCACTGAGCTAAATCCCCAGCTAAAATTTTTTTAATGCAAAGTAATGCAGTTTGAATTGTTTCTTTTATTTAATCCATTCTTTACTAACAAATCAGCCTTGGTTACTCTATCTCTTGGATCATTTGCTCTAGAAAAGCCAGTTGTCATGTAATGAGGACATTCTAGCAGCCCTGTAGAGAAGTCTATGTTTCCAGGGGCAATTGAAGATTTTTTCCAACAGCTGAAGAGGAATAAAGGACTCTAGTCTTGTAAGTGAGCGAGCTATCTCCAAATCAGACCCTCTAGCCGTGATCTGGTCTTCAGATGACTTTAACACCTTTCTCTTTTTATTTTTTGTACCTGGGATCGAACTCAGGACCTTGTGCTTGCGAGGCAGGCGGCAGAACCACTGAGCTAAATCCCCCCGCCCAACACCTTTCTCTTGACAGAAGGCTCAGGGGAGACCCTGAGCCAGATCTGTGTAAGATACTAAATGGTTTGTTTTAAGTTACTAAATTGTGTTATGCAGTGATACATAACTAATACAACACATAAGTATAATCTGTCTTCCACGTGCCTCTGAAAAATAAGCAAAAATGAAGATAAAACAGGCAGAGAAATACTGTAAATTATGTATTGGTCCCTGTGTACTTTTCTTTAATACTTGTCTTGATTCTTTTAAACTTAGGCCTATGGGCAAATACTCAGTGCTCCAAACTAATTTTGAAAGTTATAGGAAGGCGTTTAGCTTTAATTATAAGGACACATATGTATCTTTGAACTAGAAGATCTACTTGTGAGAAGAGGAAACAGGAAAATTTCCTGAAATCTAGTTTCATTTTGGGGAATGGTAGGGAGGCCACTACCTGTCTGTGGTTTAAATTTAAAGTTACATTCATTATTATTATTTTTAACTTAATGTGACTAATTAAAGAATATAAAGTATGACTTGATTTCTTTCTTAGTTTTTGTTTTGGTAATGTTTAGAAAGAAAAGAAATAAAAATATAACCCTTTTAGTCTCTCTTTATTTCTCTCTTAAAATTTCAGTAACTTTAACAATAAACAGTAAAAATGATAAAGTATACAAACACATTGCCCAATTAAATTCATCATGAACCTAAGTCTGAGAATGTTTTCCTAAAAAGGGGAAGTGTGTTTTATACAAAAGCCCATTTTCTGTTATTGCCTGCCTGCCTGACTACCCTTCTTTTCTTTTCTTTCTTGCTCTTTTGGTACTGGGGATCAAACTCAGGTGGGTCCTAGCACTTGTGAGGCAGGCGGCAGAACCACTGAGCTAAATCCCCAGCCAATGTTATTCCCTTTTTTATTTGGACTACTGGGTGCTATATATTTTAAAGTAATCTTAATAGTTTCCCGTCTCTCATTAACAAGAATGACTTGTCATAATGAGCAGTGTAGACACTGTCCATTTGATCCACTCCAGAAAGCTATTTGATACGAGGATATTCCTTTGTCCAATGAATGGAATATAAATAAATAAATGAGACAAGAATAAAAAAGTGGCCAGTTCTATCAGAAGGCAACAAAGGATTAGGACATTTGGAGACCAGGTTTAATTAAAAAAACAAACAAACATGATGAGTCAGAGAGTTGCATGTGTTAACTAACTGTAAAGAGAGAAGGAATCCTCATTAATATAAAACATCCATGAAATAGTTTCCTCCTTATCCAGGAAAGTAGATAATATCATAGTTTGAGAATAATAGCTTTCAATTCTTTGAAGTAGGAGGAACCTATTTTGTAAAATCACCATAACTCCACCAAAAATAATTCTAATTTTCAGAATTCTTTCAGTAATTTATCACATTTTGAATAGGAATTTTGGATTGCATTTGGGAGAATATATTTGTTTTGGGGTTGTCTTTCTCATTATTATTTTGCATGTTTTATTTCAATTGTAAAGTGTTATTGTTTTGTGAGGTAAAACATGGGCATCTAAGTATTCTTAACTTTTATTTCACAGTGTTTGGTATTATCTCTGAAGAGAATTATACAAAGATGTCATACTCCATTTGAGTACTTAAGTTTTTACCAGTGGCATCTGAGAAAATGTGGGTGTGTGTGTGTGTGTATGTGCATAGCAGGACTGAATCTAGGACCTTGCACATGCTTACACACATGCTCTGAGCTACACCTCCAACACCTGAAATTTGTTGAAATATTAATAGAGCCATTACTCTATGTTGGGTTTAGGGTTCTAGCTGGGGATAAAACAAATTGTGTGACAAATTTTGTGCTCTGTAGGAGCTGGTAATAGTAAAGTGGTTCTCAAAATGAAATCTTAGGATATCTTGCATTGAACCATAGGGATTGTTTTAAAGACTGAACTAGAACATCTAGGGCTAGCATCTACAATCTAATAGGTTCTCTCTGTGATTGTATTACAAACAAGTATAAAGTATAAGGACCATTGATTTAGAGGTTATAGGGTAGAGGAATAAACAATTTACATTTTGGCTGAGCCTTGATACAATGTTCAAAGTAGAAAGTAGCATCTGGAAAGATAACAGATAATAGTCTCTATCTCTACTAAGGGAAATGTAGGCAAAGGCTAGAAGCTGACATCCATCTGTGGCCCTGAAAATGATGTGCCTTGTTTCCATTCATTTTTAATAAATACACGGTGAACATTCATGAAATACTGTTTTCTTGCAGATCCAATCTGAAAACTTCTATCAGCCTCTCTTCTTTATTCTTCAGTGGCTCCGGTGTCTTTATTTTCCTCGATGACAAATGTGACTGCACATACTAGGTTCTGAGTGATTTAACAGTTGAATATAGTATTTATCGTCACTATACACAAACACACACACACACACACACACACACACACACACACACACGCGCGCGCGCGCGCCCTCGCGCGACCTTTAAAGGGGCCGGAACGTGTCTTTTTGGGTTTAGAGTGAACAGGCTTTTAAATTTAGTCTTACCACCAGTGACGACTTATCTTTCTTTGTAGATGGACGGTGGTGCCTAACATCTATTTAGCCTTGTATTACTTTTTCTCCTCTCCAAAATATAGGGCCTAAAACTCTTTTTTTCTTAGTTATAGGGGGAAAGTCAGTAATTCCAAGTATAGAATTAGGTAAAAAAAGTAATGTAAGAGCCAATAAGAACACTCTCCGAAGAAGTTCTAGACCGGAGTCTCAGAGGACTGGCGGAAGGTGGAACTTTATTACCTTCATTCATTCGGACAAAGGCGGCCATAATAGTTTAGGGTGGCAAAAATTTTCTTTGAGCGTTACCAGGAGAGGTGTTAAATGTCAGTGGGGCTATCCTTAAACTAAAAGGCCTCTTTTTCAGAAAACTTCTGAGCATTGCAGATACATTATCTCCGGCGTTTCCGGAGAAATGGTCAACGTTTGTTGTGGTACCAGTACTCAAAATGGCGACAGAGCGCTTCAGATGCCGAATCAGGTGATTGAGCCCCGACCACCCCCTTTTCTATAGCTGCTCCTCCTCCCGCTTCGTTACGCAAGGTGGGCGTAGCTTGCCCAGGGGACTCGGAGACTGAGAAAACGGAGATAGGCATGCGCAGTTGGCTCTTTCAGGCCCTTGGCACCACCTCCCCACTCCTCGCCCTGCCCCGTTCTCCCAGGGCTGAGTCAGGAGTCCAGCTGGTACTGGCTGGAGCGACATTCAGTGACTTCCTTGTTATGAGTCCCGGCCTGGCAGTGTCCGGACTCGTATCCCCGCTGTCCTTCCTTGGACCGCTAGCCCGAGTATAGGTCACAGCCAAATCCTCCCTGTCGGTCACCCTTTCAGTATAGGTCCTTTCCCTGAGCGCTCCGCGATAACATGCCCAGTCCCAGCAGCACCTCCTCTCCCTACTCCCTCCCCGAGGAAATTAAGAACCTGTTGGCAGGTAAAGAGCGGGGAAGGGGGCGGGTAGCACTGCTTGGGCGGAGGCGAGGGGACGGCGAGCCGGCCGGGACAGAAGCTTTGTGTCCTTAACCCTCCCACTGCGCGCCCCACCTGGTCTTCCGACCAGAGGGGGCGGGACGAGGAGGGAAGCAGGGTGTGTGAGCTAAGAAAGGGAGTGGGCGTGTGTGTATTTCGGTGAGAGGATGGTGGCGAAGCCTTCCGCACTTCACAGGGCCAGGATAATTCTGAATAATTTGAAGACGCCTTGTAGAGGGTGGGAAGAGAGAATTTTACGGAATGCGTGTGTGAGAATTAGGAAGGCAGCAGAAGTCAAGTAGTTCTTGGATGGCTTGGCCAATAAAGGTGGAAGGTATAGCAAACACGTATATGGGAGCCACAAGTGTTATGGGTTATGAGATAGAAAACGTTGTGTCATATCTAAAACTCCCATTTTTCTTGAACTTGCAGAACACTTATATTTAAAACTTTGAAAGAGAGCCTGATTCTCAATTGCCCAATTGTCTTAAGCCTTAGTAATTAAAAAAAGGAAGGATGTGTTGAAAGTCCTACTTCCTGTGATGAAAGAACTTCATCTTTGTACCCTTATCTTCCCCTTTTCAGTTTTACATCCCAATTATAGGAACCTTTTTAAAGAAGTTAGAATTGACCAGCCTCCGAAATAGCTCAGTTGGGGGAGCGTTAGACTGAAGAAGTTAGAAATGTGATTCTTTAATGATATTATGAATCCGCTATTCAGTAATGTGGTAGATAGGGAAGTGTTTATTTTCACTAAGAACCAATGAAAACTTTATAGTTCTCCACAAGGTAGAAAATATATCTTTTTAGGGTACCACAAATCTTGAATATCATGATGTATAAAAATTCTTAGCATTATTCACTTTCCCTTGTGTATGTCAGGATTCTGGAAATTTAGTTGTCCTTAAAATATTTATCTTTTAATATGATCATGAATGATGGGATTAAAAGAATTTCTCTGAGATGCCTGTGTTATAAGTTGCCCATTTTAACTGTCAAAAAGCAATGTCATATTTAACATAATAACTTACTCTATCAGTGTGAAAGCAGGTGTCCAAATATATTACAGTATTTTGGTGGTTAGCATCATGAAACTCTATGACTGCAGACTTATGTACATAGAACACGGTATATAGTATGATGAATACATTTGAAGCAGGATATAGGTAGTATTTCACTCTTAAAAAATACTTGTCATTAATGAGTAACACTAAGGGAAGTACTGAAAGAACTGAGCTTTTGTTCTGTGAGAGTTCACATGAGCACTAATTTTGTTTTACTACAGTTAACCTTGTTGCTACAATGCTGGGTTTACTTCTTTAGAATATTGTAATTAGGTCACAGAAGTGTTTATCATTATTTCATAAATACATCACAGTTTTTTAGATTATGCTAGGTGTATATTTTTGAATTTAAGAATAAAGAACAGACCTCTATTTGCATGCTTTTGAAGGTTGGCAGCTCCCACAGTGTGAAGCTTACTATTTCGATCCATAATCATATATTCCTGGATAGTATGATAGGTATATAGGTTAAGAGACCTTTATTCTTTGATTCCCATTAGACAGAACTATTTCATGTGGCCCTTATCTGAGTAATTTAGCCAAAGCCCAGAATTACATATTTAAATTATCTGCCAGTGTCAGCTTCCTACACATTTTTGCCATCTCTCTTCAGTCAAATAATATACAAGCATAACATCTGAAATCAGGTTTTTATAAGCCATTGGCATTTCCAGTATTTCATATTAAAGTAAGTCACAAAATAAACACATGAGTTATTAAAAAGAAATACTAAAACATTAAAACTATTTTTTATAAGAGTAGGAAAAATTTATTGAAGGAAAGAAAGCTTCTGTCTAAGAGAGACGGGGGGGGGACCTGAAAGTGGTTTGCCCCCAAAACATTAAAACTTTTGAGATTACAAATTTGGATTATACTTTCTTTTCAGAGGTTATTTTCAAGGGGTGTTGATCTGACTTAGGGGATAGACACATATCTAAAGAAATGAAACAAGGCCAGGGATTTAGCTCAGTGGTTCTGCCACCTGCCTCACAAGTGCAAGGACCCGAGTTCGATCCTGGTACCAAAAAAAAAAAAAAAAAAAAAAAAAAAAAAAAAAAAAAAGAAATGAAACAAGTGAACCAGTGTGTTTCTCAGGGTTTAAAACTTTTTTTAATGTATTCCAGGAAGGGTTGTTTTTGACTGTAATTAAAGTTTTTTTGGATTAGAGAAGGCTTCAAGAATAGATACTCTCACAGCACAATTTTATATATTTCATCCAAGAATATTAGGGATGCACTGTGATTTACATAATTCAAGTGTACTGGGTGGTAGTAATGATTAGATTTAGAATTTTGAAACTATAGATGAAGTGTCTGTATTGATTTGAATTTTGGAGGCATTGCTTGTTTATTGCTTATCTAGTACAATGTTGTTTTAAAACTAAGATGTTGATTCTAGTGGTTGTAAACAGTTGAGTGTTGTTAGCATACATGGTAGGATGCTAGAATTCAACAACAGAGGATAAGGAATTAATCCTTTCAGGAGTTTAGAATCCTGTGCTTTCAGAAAAATGTAAAATCAGCAAATAATGGCTTTCAGAATGTAATATTGCTGAGACATTTCCTGTGTTTCATGTACCTAATATACAAATCATTATATGTCATATATTTTAAGTATTTGATATTTAACTGCTTTATGGGGATACGTGTTCAAATGTATTCTTATATTTATGCTTTTTCTTTGTCTTTTTTTCCTTTTTGATTATGGTAGTTTTAAGCCACCCTTTCAGTATCCCCCAATCCTTCCCTTTAAAAAATATTATGTAGAAATAAAAAAGAGGTTTTCCTTTTAAAGCTCATACTTAATGATTTCTTTGAAGAGTGGTGATATGGTTAGTCATATTTTAAGTAGAATCAGTGTATTAAATCTTGAAGGCCTGAATTTTATAGGAAATGTTGAATTAATATTTTGTTTTACATAAAGAGAAAAGACTACAGATTTTTGTCGTTAAAAGCAAATTATGAATCACCCTATACACTAAAGGCAACCTTTGATCTTTTTTCCTCCATAACAATGGAAGAACAGGTTTAGTTTGGATAATTAAAATCAGAGGACTTTGTCCATGTAATCTTCCATATCCAAATATTTTGACTACTACTACCAGCAAGAATAATCTTGATTTATGTGAGTTTTTCCTTCTGGCAGCCAAGAAAATGTGAGGAACTAGAACCACTGCCCACTAATACCCCTTAATTTGTTTAGTTTAAATAGAGCTTGTTAGTAATTTGCAAGCAGATGTTCTCATCCACTCTTATTCTTTCATTTTCACACTAAGAAATTTAAAAAGAAAAGCTGTAAAGGGATGTTATTCTCTTTAATAAATTAGAAAATGAAACCAATGTTGAAGAAAATAGCTGTCAGTGCACTGAAAAAAATCAAACCAAACAATAAACAAAATGGATAGTTTCTGCAGAATGATCTCAAGATTTTGTTTACAAGAAAATTTTATTATAAATGTTGCATTTTCCCCTGTTGGGGATTTCTAGAACATTGTTTTTAACCTTCATACCTTATAATTGATAATGGATAGTTTCTGCAGAATGATCTCAAGATTTTGTTTACAAGAAAATTTTATTATAAATGTTGCATTTTCCCCTCTTGGGGATTTCTAGAACATTGTTTTTAACCTTCATACCTTATAATTGATAATCCCTTCAGGGGCACTAGATAAAGAATGAAATTTATTTGAAATAAAGGCAAAAATTTTTAGTGCTTGGCATAGTATGGTTTGCTTTCCACCTTTTCAAAGCCCTATTTATAATTTGGTCAACATTTTGTTTTTATTTGTCCTGTGAGAATCATTTATGGTGTATCCAGTGTACCCTAAATTCCTTCTGGGGCATTGGCTGAGTATGTAAAGGGAAGAGTGCCACCTACTGAGTCACCAGTAGTCACCTTCTTAGCACCTGGATTTTGCAACAGAGCAAAAACAAGCCGTCCCTTTTGGCAGCAATTAACTAATGTGCATAAAGTTGACTTGAGAACATATAATCTCAAAACAGAATCAGTCTATGACACTTCTAAGATTTTTTCTTCTATAAATAGAAATATGAACTTGTAAATAAAAGTACCCAAAGTTCATAGTGTCAGATAATACAGTCAAATAGTATATTCAGGTAGTCACATAGTACTTGTTAGGTGAATTAGGAAAATTATTGGCCTCTTTATATTAAGTACATAATGTCTTACTCTTTGTTGGGAAGGAGTTTTTAGTATGACTTTCCATTAAAAATATTTGTATCTTTGATTACTAAGTAAGGTTCTTTACTGTTTTCCACAATTTTTATGGAACGTTATCTTTTGTTTCTTTTGCAAAGAGAAATCTAACTATATTAGAAAGTGAGCAGTATGTGAAAAATATCCAAGTCTACTGATATGAGCATTAAAGAATGGATAAAAAGAAGGTAAAAATAATATGAAAGCCTCTGGTGATTTGAAACACAGTTCAGTTTTCTCTCATAAATTTAAGAGTAAGTGTCATATATGGATGATAAAAATGGCATAGGCTAGGTTTTATATACTCATTATTCACTTAGTTTGCCTTTTTCAATTAAAGCCGAGTCTATCTTTTTCATTCCATTGGGTTTACATTTCTTTTTCAATCATATTCTAAATACATAATGATAGATGCTGCCTAACAGAAAATATAGTGTAAATCTCAACTAATGTGTTATTCACTCTGTCTTCTTTGAAAATGTGTGGTAAAAAGATTTTGATTATTGTAAAGTGCTGTTTATCAAGTCATCTTTTAAAGGTTGAAAGCTGGCCAGCCATATCTTTCAATAGCCCAGCTTTCTATCAAAGTAAATCATTTAATCTTCCAAAGCTAATATTGAAAAATTTGTGGGATAATTAAAAGACTCAGGTATGTTTTACCAATGGCACTGCAAGAACTGTGTTTGCTCATGTATTGTTCCTTGTTTGAAAAGTCCACAGTTCTACCATAACCGATAAAAGAGCTAGGTAATCAAGAGAAAGACATTGATCAGAACAATCAATAACTTTTCAATTAGCCCTTTTCCAACTTTGGGAATTTGACTATCGATCTACATGTGCCTATTTTTTTTTCTCATTGAGTTTATTGGTACATTTTAGGTATACAGTACAGTTACTTTCATCATTGGGATCTTGTACCTTTACATGACAGGTCTTGGTTCTCATTTTTTCCCCATACCTCTGCCCTCCCTTCACCCCCTCCTCCCTTCCATATTTATAAAAACTTTATTTCCATTTTTCATTTTCTCATATTTTTTTCTTTTCCCTTATTTCCTTTCCCCTACCCTTCCCACTTCCCCTACACCTTTATCCCTTTTCTTCCTATTACACATTGTCAATTATACCATTAGGATCTTATTTACAATTATAATTTTTCACACCAGAGAAACTATTTGTTATTTATATATGTGCCTATTTTGATTGATTTTTATATTTTCACCAGTGACTGTTTGGTCAGACCATTCTCTGCTGTAACAGAGAAATGTCTTTTTTTTCTAAATACGTTAAAGCTTGGGCTGGGATCCTTAACATATTAAGTTTGGTGACAGCATATGTCAGTGAATACAAAGCAAATAAAGTAAAAATAGATGTGGAATTAAATAGTAATGTTATTTGGGTTGCTGTATAATTGGTTTTTACCCTTAATTCATATGGGGCCAGCTCCTTCCTCTGTATAATTCAGGCAATCACAGAAGATGTGTGTGTATGTATGTATGGACAGGGAGGAATTGAGTGGTTTTGGGGACTAGGGAGGAAACCAGGCGTGTTACCTTTGTGCCTTGTTTACAACTTCAGGCCTCCAAATCCTCTCCCAAGCTGTTTGGTAGTAGGGTGTGGTGAGGATAAGTGGTCTTTTAAGAATGAGAGTTCATGGGAGGTGCACGACTCAGAGAAGCTGATAGTTTATTTTATTTTTGGCAAGAAATTTTAAACTGTTCTGACCTTGTGTGGTTCCACATTTTCACTGCATGCTGTATGTGGAAGTTGGTAGAAAGTAGCCTGTGTGTGTGTGTGTGTGTGTGTGTGTGTGTGTGTGTGTGTGTGTATTAGATGCTTGCCCCAGTCACTCTGGATTCTAGATGAAGGTGGGGTGGCAGTTTCTTGGGCTGCCTAGTCTGTCTGTCCAGGATGCCTGTAGGTGCAAAACAACAACAAACCAAAAACCAAAACCAAACAAACAAAACAACCCACAAACAAAACAAAACAAAACAAAAAAACAAACAGAAAAAAACAAAACTTGGATAGTACCATTTGATGAGTCATATGTTAAGTGTTTGCCTCTTAAGGGCAGAGATAGCTTTTGACAGTTTTCTAATTTAAATTTAAAGATTGCTGAGCTAGAACATGTCATCTTTCAATTTTTTTCAGACCTGTAGCCCTACCTACAGAGCAGTTACAAGTCTGATCTTTTCGTCGGCCTTCATGGCAATTCCTTACAGCTGTGCTCGAAGATAAGGCTTACTCTTCACAATAGAAGGTGTAAAGGAGCAAAAATCACCACCAGTTTAATTTTGTCAGAATAACTTTTTTCCTAATGATGACTTGGTGGGTGGAGGCTGATGGATCTCTGTGTAATTCTGGAGTTAAATGTAGGTAGCACAGACCTGAAGTCCTATGGTTTTAGGGCAGGGACAGTTGGACTTGGTGTCGTGAGGTCACCCCCTTTCTTTTGCCTCCTTCTGGGAGCTCCGCTTCTTTCCCAATGCAGGAGTCCTCGCAAGTGAGTGGAACCCCCTCCCTCGGAGAAAGAGGAATTCAAACTCACCAGGCCAAGGGGCAAATGAGCAAGGCAGGCTTACCCTTTTCTTTTAATCAAATTAGGATGTTTTCCCGAATTACAGGCAGTCCGGAGTCAGTGAAATCTACATATTAACCGAGGGACACGACCCCTAAAGAAAGGTAAAAGAGGGCCAGCGAGTTTCCTAGTTTACCACGCTAGCTAGTTTGCAGTTTGCAGAGCTATTTAGAGCACAATAAAAAGCTTCAAATCTCTTTTCCAACCAGCCAGAAGAGCGCTTGATTCACCCAAGACTTTTATTGCTTGCTTTTGAAATATTACCCTGGCTTTGAGCTACAAAGCCAAAGATCCAGCCCCATTTGTCTGGCGCTGCCCTAAACTCAGCTCTCCCAGCTCCCAGCTCCTCAGAGAGGAACCCTGGGGTTTAACCCTCAGAGGGTCTAGTTTTTTTTGTGGCCAGAGATGGAGCATCTTCTTTTCCAGCCTTTGCGCTGGGGGAGCACCAGTCTGCGCTTGCAACGGCACGGGCGGAAGGCTGCCGCGCGTCCTGTGCCGGGTCGGGAGAGGCTGTTTCATTTCATTTGAAAATTAGCGTATAAAGTGTAGATTTTAAAGAAATAACAGATTTAAAAAACAACCAAGTCGGTGAACAACCAGTAATTAAGATTGTTGCAGGAACTGCTTCCAGTTAAAATTATTTGTTAAAAAATTACAAATATCAAAGCAATTCCTACTTTCCACATGTCTTTTTAGAAGTAATTACCAAAAATTTCAGTTGTTTCTTAAATTTCTTTAGTTTTCTTAAACTCTTTTCTGGGAAGGTTTGGGAATAAATTAATTTAAAATATTACTCTAAAAGTATAGGTCTTTTTCCTCTCCCCTTGAAAAACAGATTCTTCCTGCAGCCCCAAACTCAACAAAAATATTTTCACAAACAGAAGCATCGATCAGTATTTTATAAACATATTTAAGAGATTTTAAGAAAATACATCATAGAGTATTACAGCCTTCTTTATTTTCTGAATTTTTGTAGAACTGAGATGACTTTTTAGAGAAATAACTCTTGGGTTGTAATTTGTTCTGTTATTGCTTCCAGAGCTAGAAAATAGATCCTGTTTGTTTAAACTTGGATTGTATAATGAAAATGTAAAATAGGCAATTAAATACTCATGGAAGAGGGAATTAATGACAAACATTGAGTGAAAATAACATTAAGCAGACTATTCACCAGTCATTGTGCCAGTGATCCTCCCAAGTATTGAGTCCCTTTGGAAGAAACAATCAGTGATAGGATTGCTACTCCTTCCCTTCTTTTTTTTTTTTTTTTTTTAGGAAAGTTACTGTATGGATTCTCAGGGAAGCAAATGATCTTTTCCATTTCAGCTGTGTGAATGTCCAGAGGTTGCTTGCTTGCTCCTCTGGGTGCAGTCTACTTCATAACTTTCATTATTTTGAACTCACGTGAGAAATCTGGGTCTAATTTGCACTAGCTCTGGATTATGTCTCTCTGTCCCCTCTCCAAAGTATGGGCAACTCAAGGGAAGAGAAGCTAGGATGCTTTGCTTTTATCTCAATTTGATACTTGCTTTTAACATATTAGTTGCTAATGGACTTCAAACCAGAAGTTCTTTGAAAAAATTCCTACAAAATTAACTTTTTAATTCTTTCATTTGTCATATTGACTTAGGGAAAGATTACCTTTATATATTTATGCTAAATATATAACAGTTTGATCACCTTTCCTAATTGGATCAAAATACTTTTGTAATCAAGAATTTAAACTTGATTACAAACATCTATCTTATATATTAGGTTTTAAATAGATAATTTAAATATAGTTGAGAGATTATTACATTTCTTTGCATGACCTAAAAGTTGGGATACTCTCATTTTGACAGTGTGAATTAGGAGATAGTAATTAAAAAAGGAAATTAAAATATACATGAATCTCTTCAATATGAAACATGGATGATGTATAGCCATGACTACTTTAAAACATTTAAAGTATACTTTAATATTAGTTCAGATGAGTTTTGAAATTCTGAAAATAAAACTAATTTAAATTGTACAATATTTCATGAACAATATGAATGAAACTGTTATAGAAATCAAACCAGCAAGGATGTCTTATAATTTTATATGAGAGAACCAGACAACAGAATAATTTAGTTTACTAAAATTTTATAACAGTCTATGGGGAAATGAAATATAAGGTTATGGAAATCTTATTTCTCATATACTATATTTTTAAATAGTGGAAAAATCTATTTTCTACTTCCTTCATGTGAGAAATATTCCAGGTGGTAATAACAGGGCAGGAAGCAGGAGCTCATAGAACTACCCAGAGTGGGTGGGGCAGATAGCAAGCAGGAGGGTGTGATTTGGGATTCTTGGCTAGAAGAAAGGGACTTGTTTTTTTCTTTTAAAGCATTAAACGTTACATATACTTAAATATATTACACTGGGAAAAACAGATCATTGCCAGAGACATTAGTGTATATTGATATAATATTGTGAATGACTTGTGCGTATAGGACATTAGAAAATACTATAAAAGGTTAGTGACACATGCATAAAAGCTTGGTGCTGGTTTTTATATGAGATTTTGTTTATAGGATACTATAGTTTATTAAAATTTGTGAGCTTCTTCCTGATTTAATGATGCCAAATATCCAAATGCTTGTGTGCTGAGCATAAATGCATTACAAATTTTATTAGCTAAGTGGTGAACAGATTTGTCCAACTTATCGCTTCTCAGCCTTTTGGCTAAGATCAAGTGCAGATTTGTCCAACTTAGTATTTGAAACATAACTTCAATTGTTATGCTTTGGTAAATAACTAAAAAAATTATACATATATTAATACTTATATGAAGAAACAATCATTGTCCTATTTGTCTTCTCAAAAAACGATTTCTCTAATTTGTGTCCTATTTCTTATATTTCATGGTTTAGATGTTGAAACATTTGTAGCAGATGTACTAAGAGGGGAAAATTTATCCAAGAAAGCAAAGGAAAAGAGAGAATCCCTTATTAAGAAGATAAAAGATGTAAAGGCTACGTAAGTCACTTGCTTTTTATTACTTATTTCTTACTTAGAAGGTACTGTGTAATTAATATAATAAGGAATTATCATGGAGTTAAATTTATTATATTCTAATTTATTGCTGTTATATATTTTAAAGGACAAAATATAGTTTTTAAACACAGACATGTTTATAATATTCTTTTATAATAGTTCTCAGTTATGTATTTTTATAAATATTCTAACACTATGAAACTTTATTTTTATTATCTGAGGGAATATTTGGTTCAAATAAGATATAGATAAGTGGAGGATTTTAATGGAAAAATGGGAAATGCCTCAGACACTGAAAAAGAGAATCCTTTTGTTATTATATTAAAGAAATAAAATATACGTTCCAGGTATTAGAGCCATACCTGTATTTAACTACTCTACTTATAGATCTTTACAAATTTATTACAAATCCTTAAGCCTTTTGAAATTGTAATTTCAGGACAGGAAACAGCTTTTTCTCTACATGTATGTTTGAAATACAGATTTTGGATAATTATTGCTACTGATTAGACCTTGTTTTGATTTTTCAACCTCATTTTAAATTTAATGTTCTTTATTTTGCAGATATCTTCAGGAATTTCAAGACAAAGGTAAACTTCAAACTTGAATTTTTTTCTTTCATGAAGATTTTCAGTGGGATGAAATTTGACAGTTGGAACCAAAATTTAAATTTCCATACTACATATATGTATGCATTTAGACCTTCAAGATGAGAGTGCTAGCTCCCCCTGCTGAGAAAAAATTAAAAAGCATATCCAGAATCTACTCTGCAACTTTCTGATACAGAAATCTTATAAAGTTAACATTCTTAGGTTTTGTATTTCTTAGAGTACATTGTGACAGAAATTTGTTATGATAGTGTATGCCTGAGTTATTCTTGGAATAATTTGGTTAAGCAGTGGTGAGTTATCAACCCAATGCTACTTAACACCGCAGCAGGAGCAGAAGGGCTTATGGCTGCATGCTCATAGCTAATGTATTTGAAGGATATGTTAAAAACCGTATACGTTTTTTGATAATATGAATAAAATATTTCTCAAAGAGTTTTTATCTTTCTTGTGGCTCTGTTGTTTTGAATAAATGTGTACCTTAGAGAGTTTTAGAGATGGGGGTTTAGTTTTACTTTATCTTTGAAGTAAGGAAGAGTGGTAGTAAACTGTCTTCTTTTAAATTTTGGAGACAGCTGCTTAGCATGCTGAAACCAGATTAGGAAAGGCATTTGAAGTTACTGCTACTTCATATCTTCAGTTCCTAAGGGAAACTGGGGATGGCCCTTATTTCCATGATGCTAATTCATAGGTCATGACCTACAGCTTGTGGATGCTGGTATAAGGGTCACAATATGAGGTCAGTTAACTTACACAGAGCTAGGTTCTAAGTTTTGGAGAAGAAACAGTGTGGCTTGTGCTAACTGGGATTAGCAGGTCCCACAGAGTGATTCATATTTCTGTTAACTGATAAATGAGAGGATAATGACAGTTCAATAAACCAAGTACTTAACCAGAGAAACCTAAAATCAGTTAAAAGGAAGTCATAGTTTCTTTCACACGGAATTACCAAAATAGTGGGATTGAAGGGGATGAGAAAAGATTTTTTTCTATATGAAGATTTTTAACACTTAAATAAAAAGTAGAACAGGAAACTCCTTTCCCTACACACACACTTTCTTGTGCACTACAGTGAATCCTAACCTATGAGCTTAGCCCTGTTGCATTTTGCTTGGTTGTGTATAGAAATGAATTTATGCATTTAATCATGTTAGCTTTTATATAGTGTACTATCTATGCAGCAATATTATAAGTTACATTCTGTCTCTCTTCTTAAAAGACATATTTTATTCCAGTGATTATTTATTGAACTCTCATTGTAGCTTAATTATTTGTACATTAAACAATTTTAAACTAAGAAAGTATAATAACATGAAGTCATCGTATAATTGGATGTGGTTCAATAATAGTGTAGGAACTTTCCCTTTGGAATTCTGTTTTAGAACTTGTTCAGGTGTGTGGATATTAAAATTACATTACTGAGATGCATTCTTTGTCTCCAAAGAGAATGAAAATTTATATAGTATTTGATAGAAATTGAAAAAATGATTCTAAAATAAGAGTTCAGATAATACAGAATTCAGAGATTCCCTATAATCATTTTCCTCTGAATAGCTCATTTGTAGTTCAATACTGCTGTATTGAGTTAACTAATCTCCAAGAGTGCCTGCTGAAATGTAAGCCTGTGGATAAATTAGATGTGTACCTTGGAGAAATATAAGAAGCTAAGTAATTTTATGCCATTGTACCCTCAAAGTATATTCAGCTTTGTTCTGAAAAGATATCTTTCTATAGTTTGTTAGAAATAGTAAAGGGTTCATACTTAATAATTGCAAAGTAATTATTCAAGATACATCTCTTTTAATACTAGGAATTTATTATCAGATCTCTACAATGAGTAATTCAATATTACCTATGTTTTGATGGTGGTGGCCCCTCTGTCCCTACATTTTCCCTTTTGGGCTTTTTATTGTCTGCATCCAGGGAGAGCTGCAAAGAATTCCTTTTGGCTGTTCTCTCTCTGTGTCTGTCACACACATTCTCTTTTTGGTCAGTATAGGGCCACAAGTAAACTAAACTGTTTTCCTCATTTTTGTCTTTATAGCCCCATTTTAAAAAGATGCTTTATTTTATTAAAGTAACAGTTGAATACCATTTTAAGACCATTATTGGGGGCACCAAGTAGAGAGTTCTTAAATAAAATTATTTAGTTCAGATTTATTAATTTCTAATAATTCGCTTATTAATTTCTTTAGTGTTCACTGATATCTGTCATTCTTTATTTCTCATTCTAATTCTTTGTCCTTACTTGACAGTTTCTGATCCTGAGATTTAACAAAATGGAATTTACAATTTGAAGTAGTTCAAATCTTAAATTAATTGAATTGATATGATTATTGAAATAGATGCATGGATCTTAGTTTTTTTTGCATTTCCCCTTTTTTGTAACAATACTTAGTATCCTCAAACACTTGTTTTATTACAGTGTTCCTAGATAATTTTGTCTACTAAGCTAACTATTTCCTTGTTATTTACTTTATTTACACAGAAAGCTACTGTTTTAATAGCTTCCGTTTTCATTTCTTTAATTTATTAAGATTCTTCCTTAACTCCTTAAATTTTCTGGATTCCCTGTTGAAGAGGTCTGACCAACTGTAATTTAAGAATAATTATAAATTGTTTTTTTGAATTTCTTAATTTTACTTGTAATTAGGGAATATTAAAATCCAGTCAGAGTACCTTTTGCTTGGTCTGTTCCTTGTTATTTGAAATATTGTATATTTTATTCAGAGTAGAGACTTTCTTCTTACTTCATTGTATTGTGCGAGATTGAATAACTATCAAACCATAGTTATCTGGTTTCAGTATAGCTTGTAGAGTGTCTTTTCCTGAAAGTAGGCTCCATGCACTGGAATAATGATATATGATTATTTTAAATTATTCTCTGTACATAACAAGATCATAGTTCTCGTAAACATGACTTCAAATAATTATTTTTGTGACAGAAAATATATTACTGTTTGAGTAAAGAATTATCACTGACTGAGCATTGGTTAGTATTTTATAATATGTGAGGTACATTATAAAGTTTTACTTACACTGTGTCTTGACTTTAGTCTCCTTTTATTTCAATGATGATTTCAGTGCAATTATAGTAGATGTTCAATAAACATTAAATCAATGCATATTCCCCAACTTCATTTATCAGGGATATTTAAGTTAATTCTGATCTATAATTTAGTTTTCAAATAATTTTGAGGTAATTATAAATTATTAAAAGAAAGGCATGGATAGTAAATGAGACAAATATTTTGCAACTGGTTTTCAAATTTGTAAAATATTACTGTCTATAGTTTTAAAATGTAAATTACTGTTTTAGATGTTACAGATACAAAGCTCTCATTTTCTTCTTTAAAATATCTTTTCCTATTAATTGTAAAATTTTAAAATAACTTTACCCTTAAGACTCCATTGATATTGTTAAATATGCATAGGTTTATGTAAAAATAAGTTTTTCTTTAACCTTCTCATTTGTCACTTCTTAAGTTTATTAATGGACTAAACCACTTTTTAAAAATAGCAAGATTATTAGGTAGGAAGGGATCCATTTTTGTTTGTCCTGATGGAATCTTTAAGAGTAGCAGAAAGGCCAGAAGCTTGTATGATGTTTAATTTTCTTCCCTTTACCCTTCCTAACGTGGTATATTTTCTGTTGAGAGTTAGCTGCGCAATGACATCTGAGCAAATAACTGGCAGTTTTTTCCTTCCACTGCCCTCTTCTACCCTTACCCTTGTGCAGATGTGGTAAGCATGTGAATTACAGGGCCTGTAGTGGAGAAATCTGTATCCAAGAGGCTTTTGGAAAATGCTTTGCTTATTTTAAAGCTCTGGCAAAGTGTGGCACAAAAAGTTGTTCTTATTATTTGCGTACTGTAAGTTAACTTTCCTGTTGTAAAAGAATTAAGGGAAGACTTTTATGTTTTGGTGATCTGTTTCCTTCAAAGTCTTAAGAATTCAGTTTTCTTTAAGAAATTACAAATTAAATGTTTAATTTTAGATATGTATTTAGCTGTATATTATTACTTGAAATCTTAGGATGGATAAGAAACTGACTAGAGAATTAGACATTAATTATTTTCTACTTTTACTCCCAGGTTTGTCTTCACGCTCTATACAAAGGAATGGCTGCCATCTAAATTATATTTTATTTATTTATCTATATATGTTATTTTCTTTTAAATTAGCATTTAATAATTATATATATGAGGTACAGTGTGATATTTCAATATAAAAATGTTAAATTTTAAGTGTATTATTTAGTTTTATGTTGTGTTTAAAATAGAACTATACGTGGAAAAACAAGCAATAAACGGTAAACTGCCTTTGGGGTGGTGGAATTTGTGAGTTCATTTGCTGTTGGACTGCATCTCTAGACATTTAGAAAAATGTTAATTGATGATGAGCCATATAAAAAAGAATGGCTAATAGTGATTTGTACCTATTATAAATTTAAAAATAGTTATCTGAGAAATATGCTGCTGTGGTATGATTAAACCTGGATTTTGTGTGATATTTCAATTGCCACTGAAATTACAGGAAAGAAGCCTTGGATCATTGTCTCTTAGACGGTTAACTTTGTATCGTTAATTAAACTTTTGAAAGTTGTGAGATAAATCAAATGCTTTTCTAGGGAAACAAGAAACAGTATTAATGAGCAGCAACCTCATAATTATCCTTGTGAGTACATAACAGGGACACATTCATGTCTTTTCTTTGTGCAATAACTTTTACAAAGAAGTATTTTTAAACTGATCATTAATTTTATGACCACAGAAATGAGATGCAAAATTTATGCTGTTGTCATTGACACAGGCTCAAGGCACCACTGACATTATGTGTGATAGTAATAGAATAGCTGGCAACTAACTAATGATTCTGTAGACATTTCATTTGAGCATGTTTTTCTTTTAGATGTCTGATTAGTCTGTAATGCTTTCAATTATGTCTTTAAATTGTATTGGATACATTTACCTGATGCCCCGTTGTTGATTTGGAGTTACTTTTTTGTATTACATAAACACAAGTTGAGCATTTTCTTTTTAATTTATAGAAGTCTTTGCAGGTATATCTAAAAATACTTGGCCCCTGGGGAGGAAAAATGCTTTGCACTACTCAACAGCGACCCCTGTGTTCAATTAAAGCTCCTTATAAAGCAGCAGCTTTCATTCTTTATTGGATTGGATTAGGGACAGGTAAATAAAATGAAGACCACGCTGAAAAGTGGTGTGTTCTTCCAACTTAATACAGTGGTTAAAAAGGGAATACTGCTGTACAGATACTATATGGATTCTTTACTTTCTGAGTGAATTAAAAAGACAGTCCTTTAGTGGATGGGGGAAAAAAATCAAGCTAGTAGCATTACTTCATTTTGTTAGCTGAATATAAGTATCACACTATTTTAAAAATTATTTCAGTTAACTACAGTTTTTAGAATGGATAAGTTGAAGATGATTTCACCTTATTTTATTTTTGTGATATTTGGGAATGAATTCAAGTCTTTCATGCTGAACTATATCCCCAGCCCTTTTCTTATTTTTCATTTTGACACAGGATCTTGCTAAGTTGCCTAGTTGCCCGGGTTAGGATTGAACTTGCAATCCTCCTGCCTCAGCTTCATAGAGTGCTGGGATTACGAGTGTACATCATTATGCTCAACTGTGAATTCCACTTTAATAAATAATCTGAAAAAAACATTTCTGTAGTGCTGGGGATCAAACCCAGGGTTTCATGCATGCTAGATAGGTACTCTACCATTGAGCTAAATCCTCAGCTCTGAAAAGTATTAAAAAAAAAACAAAGACACATGTTTTTCAACATGTCAGTGACCCACTTTTGTAGAGTAAATGCTGTTATATTAAGTATTATTGAGTTTATAACTTTAATCTTTCTGCTATCTGTATGGATATCATTTATACATGTCAAAAGTACATAGATATTCTGAGTTTATAGTGTATATATACACATAAAATATATGATGGATTAATATCCCTCAGGTTTTCAAAACTTTTATATATTTTTTTTTTGTTGTTGTTGTTTTTGTTTTTTGTTTTTTGTTTTTTTTGGTACTGGGAATGAACTCGGCCCCTTGAGTTTACCATGCAGGCGGTGGAACCACTGAGCCAAATATCCGGCCCAAAACTTTTATGTTTTATGTCCATTTCTATATAGACTTTAAGAGATTTAAGCCTTAGCAGCTGAATTTTTTCAAAATCATTTCCGTATATTCTTTGGTTTTATTATCTTTGTAGTCATAACAGCATAAGTGCAAAATTTTGATATGTGTTTGAAATATCCTAATGTCCTTTTTTTATCAGAAGATTTATTTTTTGGTGTGTGGTATCAGATAACCTTAGAAAATTCAAACCATAAAAATTCTTTCTTTGTTTAGAATATTCTGGCAACTAAGAGTAACCGAGAATTTTGTGATCTCTATATTGTATGTTTCACATTCTATCATGACATGTTTAAAATAGTTTTAATGGTTCTTTATGAGGGTTTTTTTTTTTTGCCTATCTTTGAATTTAGAGTGGTTTTCTTTTCATAAATGTTATAAGTAATCATTTAGTGCTCTGAAAAGTGCTTTGGCTATCTCAAAAAAAAAAAAAGACAAGACTTAAAGAATGAGTAGTACTTCTGTGTAATCTTTGGAATTTTAATTGGGGAAGAAGCATCACAGTTAGTGTACTTAGTGGTATAATCACTAAGAATGACAAAATAGCCTTTGTTGTATTCTGTTCTTGTCTTCATGAGAGATGTTGTATCTACATTTTCAGGATAAGGATGATGATTGTTTATGCAATAGCAAAATTATAAGGAAATGAATATTTAATTTTTAAATTATTTTGACAATGCTGTCTTGAGAGGCTATTTCCTCTACCAAGAATGTACTGAAAAATAGAATGACATCCAGGAAATGGGTGTTAGAGGATAAGACATCATTTTGAAGATATTAGTGGCTCTAATCTGGATCTACCCAAGCACTGCAGCCCAAAGGTAATACTGTAGGTATTTCATCCAGAGTTCTTGTGAGATTTTTTTACCATGCCCTTTGTGTAATCCCTGAGGCAGTTGTTTTTTTTTCTTCAATTGTCAACAGTTACATATTTAATATAATACATTTTTACATTATTATTGAATTTCTGAAAATTATTGGGCTGACAAATAGTCGATTCAGTGTTTTAAAAGTTTTGACTGAATATATGGAAAAAAAGTGAAACCACAATTTTTTTTCAATGGGGATTAAAATATCCTGTGTTTTTAAATGAAATAGTTATTGTTCCGTTGATATTTTTTAAGGGTTATTTTGGGTTTTATTTTATGTTCCTTCTACTTTTTTGTGTACTGGGGATCGAACATGGGTCCTTGTGCTTGCAAGGCAGGTGGCAGAACCACTGAGCTAAATCCCCAGCCCTACTTTTTGAATTCTTTATAGAGACTATCACAGTCTGTGACTGTATCTGTTTGTGACACAAATAAGCAGTTGTTTATTGACCTTCAGAAACTCTACTATATTTACAAGGTATAAAAATGTGATATAGATTTAAATTTAAGAATTATTACAGTAAAAGACATTGCCATTAATCCCCACTGAAATACTTCTCCTTGCTTCAAACACACTTACGCTATCTTTCTTGCCACTTTCTGAAGCAGTTCTAGAATTTTTTCTTGTGAATGTCTTTAGTTGTACTGTTGTGGCTGCCTTGATGTCTTGAAACCATTTAAAGCTTTTGCCTTTCATGTTCATTTTGACTTTAGGAAAGTGCCAGAGTTGCATGGTACCAGATCTGGTGAATAAGGTAGATGAGGACACACTGTAATGTTTTTACAAGCCCACCTTTCTGTTGGGTGGCACTTGGCAGGAGCATTCACTGTGTTTTGATCATACTTCATAAAGATATTGAGAAAGGACTTCCAGAACTACTTCAGAAAGTGACAAAAATGATGGGATAAGTGCATTCAAAGTGAAGGGAAGTAGTTTTAGGGGTATTAATAGCATTACATATTTTACTGTAATAAATTTTTAAAAAAAGTTAATGTTCATCATATTATTTTATCACCTGTTGTACATTACAATGAAATAGGCTAAAATAGGGTGTGCTTTTACATAGTTCAGAAAGTTTTCTTTATTTCTTATGACAGTGACTGAATTTAATAGTAAAATTTACCGCTTCAAACAAAGTAACATAATTTTAAATGGCAACATCATAAAAGATATTTCTCTGATTCTTTACAGGGGATGCAGAAGAGGGGGAAGAATATAATGACCCTTTTTTGGGGCCTCCAGATACAATTTCCTTAGCCTCCGAACGATATGATAAAGATGATGATGCCCCCATCGATGGTATGTGACATTTTCCCATAGTATATATCTCTTGACATTTTCACACAAGGCAATGCTATGTGTAGAAGTGAAGGTCTCATCAGAAAGCAGAAGGAGAGGCTTGGGTTAACTTACCTTTTCGAGAACCTTTTTGTTTTTGGGTACTGGGATTGAACTTGGGTCCTTACGCTTACAAGGCAGGCCACCGAACCGCTGAGCTAAATCCCCGGCCCTACCAGAACCTTTTAAAGAACAGAAGAGCTCTCTCTAGTGGTCCTAGCTGAGGTTTCCCTAAGTATGTAGTTGCTTTTTCTTTACCAGAATTTTTAGAAGAGTGCTTGCATCATTTTATGAATATTATTGGTAACAGTGTGTTGGTTAATTTAATATTATCAAGTTCTTGCTTAATTTTATTTTGCTTAACAGCTTGTTGTATTATTTACTTTATAAATAATGAAAAACCTTTTTGATCTATTTTTTGTACAAATTTCATATGAAATGAGTTCATAAAATATTAAATTAATTATTCTTACATTGCCTTTTCACATTGAGACAAATTTTTTATCAAATGCTTCTTTTAATGCACATTTTCATTTTTCTGATTGTCACTTAAAACATCTTGTGTTCTGCAGTACTGTGCATTTTGTATTAATTGAATTAGTAATGAAGTTGATTATCTCTTAATAATTTCTAAAAACCACTGAATGTTGTTGAAGTTATGAAACTTCTTTTAGTATAGCATTTTTCTTTTATAGCCAGTTGAGTGCATCTACATTATAGAAACCTTATAAGAGTGATATATAGTTATAAATTAAGAATGTGTATTGATAAATTAGCCATGCATATTAATTTGTGGCACTCAAAGTTTCACATAGAGGTAGAAATGAATAATGCTTTCTGCCACTATATGATGATCAAACTGTGCAGCTCCATCTCTAAATACAATTGCTGAATGAAAATATGCTTCTTGCAACAGAGCACTCCACATTTTATGTTATCCAGATTATTCCCTTTGGAAACATAAATTGCTTTTATGAGGTATAAAATTATGTCTATTGCAGAACAGGGATAAGTCAAGTACATGCATAAGTGATAAACATTCTAACCACTGATTCAGAACAAAACAATCTTTTTTTATATCCAGAACTTTGTACAATGTGTAACAATACTAATCATATCTATTTTATGTTGACTTTTACATTTAATTACTACTTTTAAAGGAAAGGATTTTTTTCCCTCATTTTTATTCCCTTTCTTTTATAAAGATGCATTTCTTTTCACTCACACTTATTATCCAAAACGGATTATTACCCTTCCTAGCCTCATCTTCAAAAGAATTTCTGCTAGAAAATATTTTATAATTGATAAAATAGTATTTTCAGGCACAACAATGAGTTATAATTTAAGTTGTACTATTTTTCAGACATTATTTTTTGCTTGGTAAAATGTTATGTCAATGAGTATGCATACATTTACATATACAAAATATATAGAGGGCTGCTTGTACTTGAGAATGAACACAAAGTATACTCAATAGAATAGATATACTCAGAATGTCTCAAAATAAAATAAGTATTTTGGTATACAGGGATATATTATGTGCACTCTTCAAAAAATTACAACCTAAAAAGAAATCCAACAGTTAAATATCTGTGAGAGCCAGAAATCTTCTACTGGAGTTTTAGATAAACTGTTATTAAATTATAGTAGATTTATATGATTGTTCTATTTTTGAAATAATTTATCATATATTTTCATAACTAAGTATACAGGAAATACATAAATATCATGAAAAAAAGATTTGTTGTTAAATTAGCCTATCAATACTTGAATCTTATTTAATGACATTTATGTATAACTAGATTTTTTTGTTAAATATTGGTGCATTTTTACAAGTAAGCACTACTTAAGTAGATTGAAAATTTCACTTTTGGTGTCATTCATTTTTGAGATATAAATAATATGGCTTTAATAATTTTACATTTGTTTCTAGGAACATTATATTCCAATTTTTAAGCTTCCATTTGGACTTTTTAATTTGTAACTATAAATTATATCTCTTTGTATCATTCTTTTCTCTCTACAACTTAAATTTTGTCTGTGTTCTCTTTCCTTTCCTGAATAAGTTTTCCTTTATTATGTGACCTCAGTCTAATAATGTATTAATTATAAAAAAGATAATACACTTACAATAAGTATAACCAGTTTAGTACAGGTCACCCGAAGGTCTTTTGTCAAATCATATTGTTGTTTTGTCCTTTTGACTTTTACCTTATGGTAGGCACTAACAAAGTACATGAACTTTGATGGATTATAAACTCTAAACATGATATGTATTTTTCATAATGATAATGTAATTTTCAAGGTACTGAAAAGGTCAAACCTGCATGTCTGTATGTGCATTCTAAGTCTGTCTTCCCTTTAATATTTCTTTTTCTCTGTTCCTCTGGTTCAAAAGTTCACTCAGTTCCCAAATGGCCACCTAATTTTCCAGTTATTCCCTCAAGCCATATGTGTTTTGGTTTCTTTATGGTTTATTAGGTACTGTAGGAAAGTAGCATAAGTTATATCTTCTAATGAAATTCAAGCACACTTCAGTGATGCTTTGATTTGATGGCTGGTAGCAATTAAATCACAGCCAAGGAGAATAATGCATAATCTCACAAGGTCCAGACACCCTATAGAAATTGAATGGGGGAGGAAAACAAAAAACAAAAACAAAATCTCCAAACCCTGCCAGACATGCTGTTTCCAACCTGCCTTTTTTTTTTTTATTGGCCAACTGCCTGATTGATATCAAAATCATAACTTGCTGCATGCTAACAGGCAGAGTTCACTTGTAGGTTATTGTGAGCTGATAAAGGGTTAGATGGAATTTTGATTTTCGCATTGGACCTTAGTGCACCAGATTAATGGAATTTCAATGAGAGACTCGAGTAGCCACAGCTTTGTCAGAGAAACAGATGGAGATTCTATAGTCATGTCTACTCATTAATACTAGTTGCCTGAAAGGTGTGCTGCTTCTCTATACAAAAGCGTTGATATAATTGATTTTTGAGTGGCACATTGAAGAAAAGTACCTTATTGATGACTAGAATTGTAACAAAAATGGTGACAGATTTTTGTGTAGCTTGCAACAAAAACATTGTATTTTGTAATTTTTTTCATCTTTCTCTTTGGAAACACTTTCTTATATACTTTTTTCATTTTCTGTATTTTTTGAAGAAAATATATTTTAACACTAATTGCAAAAAAGAAGAAATGCCATGCACAATTATCTGTTAGGAAAAAGTAAGAATTACATTTTACTTATAAAAGATTGCATGTCAGTTTTATTTGATATGGTAATATTGCAAAGAAATCATACTAGAAGTTTCATTTTTTTTTAGCTTTCTGTTTAATTTTTCTGGAAAATTAAAAAAATCAGTTTCTAGACTATCACAGATCACTGATAGAAGTTTATGGTTATTGTGTAGCTGGAGATATATTGTAGTGTTAGTATACTTGTGCATGTCAGTAATCAGATAAAGTTAGAGACGAGACTTAAAACATTAAAGAAGAATCTCCATTATTCATGTTACAATGTTTGGGCACTAAGGTGGTAATTGTCGGGTAGCTTTTATACACTTTACAATGACTTTAGTTTTCATTTTTTTCCATTCTGAAATCATTTTTCATTTATTCTCATCATTTACGAAAGAAAGCTTCTAACCGTATAGCATTGTGAAAAGTCCCTGAGGTAAGGTGAAAGGATTCAGTGAGCTAGAAGACATATATCGGCTCTGCTCATCAATGATAGGTCGAAGGATCCCAGTGGACATTTGTTACAAATCTGATTCAGTCCTAGACCATAATCATTTTGCGGATAAGAATCTGGAACCTCTAGGGTATGAATATAGGAAGGCTAAAATGAAACTGAAGATATAGAAGAATCATTTATTGTCCCGGTATTTTCCTAACTAAAAATTCCCAAGTAAAATCAGTCACTGAAAGCTGTGGGTATTGGCAGGGACATAGGTTGTTATGAAATAATACTTTTTTAGGAATGGAACTATTTTTTTAAAGCTTGGGGATTGAGAAAAATATTTTGATCATAATTTATGATATTAAATGAATTTTTTCTTTTTTGATATGTATTACTGAAAGAAATTTTAAATTTTAAATTTTAAATGTTTAAAAATTTGAGCTTATGAAACATGTAAATCATTTATTCCAAAAGATTTCTTAAAGAAGTATTGTCTCCAGGATATTTATAAATAATGAGCCTTCACGATGCATCTAAACAGGCTTAAGAATAAACTCATTAACATGCACACACATAAATTTAATATACCAAACTTTTCAGAATAATTTTTTGGTGTAAAGTTAGGTGTAACACTAACCAGTTCTTGTGAAAGCCAAATGGTAGACGTTTTCACTTTTGTCTGGGTATCAGCAGATTATGAAACAATGTTTACAACTACAAAAAAATTATTTCAGTAAAATTCTTTCATGTACCATTTAAGGTAAATGCTTTTCTTTCATAGAATTGATATTTAAAATTATGCTTTCAGTTCTATGAGCATTTAGATTAGTTTCCAACTGGAACATATTTTTCTGTATAACATATTAATAGTATACTTGTGGTTTTTAACTGTTTTGATTATTTTATCAAATTGCTAGCTTGTGTATATTTTAGCAGTGTTAGAATAATGATTATTTTAGTCTTCTCTGTTATGTATATAGCACAGTTTGAAATATTTTGACAGAAGGGAGGGGATTACAGTTTAGGGAAATGATAGAAAGTAAGGATATATAATTGGTAATTTAAAGCATACAGATGTAAAATGTTTTTATAGTACAAAAACATAAATGAGTAAATAAAAACAGCCATCAAGGATAATCTTTATAATGGTGGCACATATCTGAAATCTCACCCTGTGGGAAGCTGAGAAGGAGGATTATGAGACTTAGGTAGCCTGGGCTACATAGTGAGACTCTTTCGCATAAGCTGCTCCCCAAAGGAAAAATCTTTCTAAGTT